GACATGGACAGGTAAATTGACTATAATCAGTAAGAAATGGGTCTTAGAATGTTTTACTATTATCTTAAATAATAATCTACACTTAAAAATTATCTCTGCAATGTTATTGCACCGTTTTATTTTACTCCAAAACAATTCTGAGGTCAAAATTTATGCTTTATATGTATTTATGGTGACTGACGCTGTGTTTTGTGTTGCAGATACAGGATCCAGCAGGCAGTGAGACGGCTCTACGATGGCTACCTGGCAGAGGGCCACCTGGAGGCTGTCAGAGGAGTAGGAAGAAACAACCTGGAGTCTTCCATTGAGCATGATTCCCACAACGACTCTGGATATTCCACCAGACTTTGCACAGGCTCCCAGGGTCCCTCGCCCGCACTCTCAGGTAAGAAATCTGCAGGTAGGTTTAAAAGCATCTGATTTTAGTCAAATAACATGTATATCATTAGTATATAACATATAAAGCGTAGCTTTAGAAGGACAGGAGATGCTGGACCACTTAACGAGTCTATCATCTTTCAGAGGTCCATGTCAGGAGTCATTTTTCTGACAGAAAACTCTACCACCTTCATCATTGAGGCATAATATGCAGTAATTATACTTCGTTAAATCTGAAAAGGTGGAAGACGATTACTATATTTATGTGAAACGTTCAACCCAAGTGGGTTACTATTTAAAGGAGTAGTGGAGGCTCAGTTCTTCACACGGTAAGCGCAATACAAATGCGTTACCTGTTTCTACTCACCATTGAAACCTTGACTGTCAAAGGCATAAAATTTATTGTATCTTGTCAAAATATTAATCTGATTTTCTGTTGACGATCAGCTTACCTGTGATATTTCCTGGACTAGGCGCGCAGGAAATGCCGTCAGAAAGCGAGCTGAAACATCCTGCAGCGGCTGCTTCAGAACCCAGCAGACACCTCTCCTACACCGGAGCTCAGAAGCACGACTCCAGCAGACAGCCAGGGAGGGAGCCGACCTACCCTGGAGCTCCTGGGACACGGTACTCCAACGGTCTGGTTCCACCAGGACCCCAGCACACCACCACCCCAACCAGGTTCTCCACTCCTCATCTGGGCAGCGACACAGTCATCATTGGAGAATCCTCTCTCGTCTGACTCCTCTGATACTTCTCCAATTAAACCAGTATATATATATATATATATATATAAATATATATATATATATATATATATATATATATATATATATATATATATATATATATATATAATGTCGTGCCGAATAGGCAGAACTTGCGATCTTGGCTTAAATAGCAACGCTCATCTTGCCATATAGGACAAGTGAAAATTTGTGTATGCAATAATTTCGCCAAAATCATTCTGAACCTAACGAAAAAAATATATTTGATTGTGTTTCTTTAGTACTAAATTAGTGTAAACGTATTTAAAATATATTTAGTTGGGTTAGGCTAAAATAAATTGCTCTTGTTATAATAAGGTTAGGTAAGTTTTCTAAGATTCTTTTGTGGCAAAATGAAAATTTTTTTCATTAGCATTAATGAAAAAAATATATCTTTAAACGTATAAGAGAAAATTTTGGAAAGGACTTAATTTTAAATGAGTTCTTGCTAATTGACCAGTTTTACATATTCGGCACGACATTATATATATATATATATATATATATATATATATATATATAATATATGTCGTGCCGAATAGGCAGAACTTGCTGTCTTGGCTTAAATAGCAACGCTCATCTTGCCATATAAGACAAGTGAAAATTTGTTTATGCAATAATTTCGCCAAAATCATTCTGAACCTAACGAAAAAAATGTATTTCACTGTGTTTGTTTAGTATTAAATTATTGTAAACAAATCTAAAATATATTTAGTTGGGTTAGGCTAAAATAAATTGTTCTTGTTATAATAAGGTTAGGTAAGTTTTCTAAGTTCCTTTTGGTGCAAAATTATAAATTTTTACATCAACATTAATGAAAAAAATATATCTTTAAACGTATAGGAAAAAATTTTAGAAAGGACTTAATTTTAAATGAGTTCTTGCTAATTGACCAGTTTTACATATTCGGCACGACATATATATATATATATATATATATTATATATATATATATGCCAATAATTTTATTGTACACATATGCTCCTTATTATTAAACAAGTGCTGTGTGTGTATGCTACAGTTACGTATTTACCAAAGGTGGAGGAGTTGTACTACCTGGTATCACGCAACACAGGCAGTGTAGCGGTAAATGAGTGCTGTAGTCAATGTACATTGTATAGCTATTTGACAAAGAGTGCTGTAATTAATTGTATATTGTGTATGTATCTGCCAGGAGTGCTGCAGTCGATGTATATTGTGTATGTATCTACCAAGAGTGCTGCAGTTATGTATATTATGTAGGTAGCTGCCATAAGTGATGCAGTTAATGTACAGTGTAAATAAGAATTTATATAGTATCTCTTCATACAAATGTAAAATTGTAATATAACTGACATATAACTGTTCATATGTATTTTTCAAACCTTTGTTAATGAAGATGCTTAGATTCTGTACGATGCTATCACAGTAAGGAAAATCATGTACCTGATTTAATTGTAACTGCCTTAATGTAAAAAATTATCTGTAAAGAGTTAGGTTACATCATATTATAGATGTTAGCATTTGTTACTAGTACAATTTTTTTTCCTAATTATGAATACTCATGAACACGAAGAACCCTTGCTATCATTGCTGTGTGAATCTTGAAGTACTTGGTAAAGAGACAAGCAGATAAGTGACGAAATTGGCTAATTTTCTCTCCAGATGCAAATTCTTATATATATTTTTTCAATTTATGGTTAATTCATACAGGCGGACCCCTCTTATACAGCAGGTTATGTTCCGGGCTGCTGCGGTAAAGCGAAAATCGCTGTAAAATGAATCATAACCTTTTTTTTTCTCTTTCAAATGCACATAAAAGTCTCGTTTCATGTTTACACTGTCATATATTAACTGAGCATTATAGCTAGGCCTAAAAAAATGCATATATAATACACATTACTGAGTAGTAAATATATTTATTGTAGGAAGTCTGAAGAAGTGAAGAATGGGTATAATTGAAATACGCTGTATTAACGAAATACTTTAAAGCTAAGCGCTGTAAAGTGAGGCCTGCATGTACTATCTTAACCAGTGATGACGAGAGCGTGATAGGCTAACTTTATTGAAGACGTCTTTAATAAAGTTTCCAGTTGTTGTTTGTGTGTCTTTATTAAGTGCAACTTGTTGGTACTGACTTACACCTGCCATTAGAAGTGAATCGAAAATGTTGACAACACTGTGGACAAGGGAGGGAACACTGTGACATGATGAGGGCAACACCCTGTGACTTGGAAGGGCCATATCACTGACATGGGAGGCAAACTGTGTCATGGGTAGGCATCACGGTGAATAAGGGAGGGCAACACTGTAGACATGGGAGGGCCAACACTGACTGGGAGGGCAACACTGTGTCATGGTGAGGATCAACACTGTGGCTAGGAGGGCAACACTGTGACATGAGGAGGAGGGCAACACTGCAGTGTGTTGAGGGCAAGATTGTGACGGGCGTTATTATTATGGAAAGCTCGCTAAACCGTTGGGGTCATGCAGCTACCGCGGAATGAAACGTAATAAGGTTTCTGCTGAGGCAGTGGAGAGAGCCTCTTTCTGGTGACTCATGAGTCTTCACCAGCGTTCCAACCAATAGAAAAATAGGAGCTGGCGAAGGACTCTCAGAAAAGGAGTGTTGCTACCCTCCTTTACTATGGATCGAAACCTGATTGCCTCCTAGCTGTATGACCCCTACTGTTTATCGCTTCTCTGTGTAATATAATAATGTCCTTAATATAATCCATCATTTTGCTTAATACATAACATTCTTTAAAGGGGATTCATGCTATATTGTCTTCTATCGTACATATATTCTAATGAGCTTCATGTATATTCCTATTATCTTCCATCGTCTTCACGATATTTATTGACCTTTTGTGTATTCTCAATCATTGACATTCTTAATCCTCTTCAGACATAAACTCTCGTGTACATTTTCTCCTTTTACATTTTCCTTCATCCTTTTCATTCGTATCATGTGCATTCATTTATATTTAATATATATATATATATTAATATATATATATTATATATTATATATAATATTATATATATATTCATTATTAATATATAATATTTTATAGATATATAGCATCAGTGCGAGATGGCGGTGAAGGCAGTGGAGATGTCCTGATTTAAGGGCAATGTGTGTGTAAATAATTATGCAGAAAAATCGGAGTGTGGAAATTAGAGAGAAAGTGTGGGAGTAATAAAAGCATTAGTCAGTGGGCCTGAAGAGGGGTTTGTTGAGGTGGTTTGGTCATTTGAGAGAATGGATCAAAGTTACAATGACATGGAAAGCATTATAACTCTATAGGGAAGGAAGGCTGCGTGGTGTTCGTCTCGAAAGGGTTGGAGAGAGGGGGTAAAGGACGGTTTTGTGGCAAGGGGCTTGGACTTCACTCAGCAAGCGTGCGTAGGGTGTTGATAGGAGTGAATGGTGACGAATGGTAATGTGGACCTGACGACCTGTTGGAGTGTGAGGCAGGGTAATATTTATTCATGAAGGGGTTCAGGGGGAAACCGGTTATTTTTATTATAAGCCGGACTTGAGTCCTGGGAAATGGGAAGTACAATGCCTGCAATTTTAAAGGAGGGGTTTGGGTTATTGGCAGTTTGGAGGGATATGTTGTGTATCGCTTTATAGTTATGCTTCTAAAACTGTTGTTTTTCTGAGATCACTCTGCAAAACAGTGATAAGGATGCGGAGTGTGGTGACATAGTAGTGATTGAATGATGAATGAAGTATTTTCTTTGTGGGATTTTCTTTCTTTTTTGGACACCCTGCCTCGGTGGTGAGGCGAGCCGACTTGTTGATAAAAAAATCATATTTACACACACACAACACACGACACACACACAATATTTATATATATATATATATATATATTAAATAAAAAAATATATATATATATATATATATATATATATATATTATATATTGAGCGTGACGTATTCAGATTTTGGGAGTGGAACAGTGTGTCAGTCGGTTATGGGTCTATGAAAGATGAGGTGAATCATGAATTGATGAGGGAAAAAGAGCTGTGCAGTGAGTGACTTAGGAGTCTGTGGAGACAAAGAACTTTGTCCTTGGAGGCAAAGATGGGGAATTGTATGAGGTGTATAGTTGGACAACTCTCTTATTGGGTGTGAAGCAATGGGTGATGAATGTTGCAGCGAGGAGGAAGGCTGGAGCAGTAGGGAGAGTCATGTCTGAGGGCAATGTGTGGTGTGATATATAGTGCAGAGATTTCGTAGTTTGGAAGTTGGAGGGATGTTGCGTGGATTAGTCCAACTGTTCCCTCTTGTCCAGGAGGGTGATGGAAGGGTTGTTGAGGTGGTTCGGACATGTAGAGAGAATTGGAGCGAAACAGATTGACTTCAAGAGTGTATCAGTCTGTAGTGGCAGGAAGGAGGGGTAGGGCAGTGGCTTAGGAAAGGTATGGAGGGTGGGGGTAAGGAGGTTTTGTGTGCGAGGGTTGGACTTCCAGCAGGCTTGCATGAGCAGGTTTGATAGGATGTTGCATGGATGGTCTAAAATGGTTTTTATTACTTGACCGTGTCTGTTGGAGTGTGTTGCAAAGTAACATTTATGAAGGGATTCATGGGAAACCGGCAAGGCCGGATTGAGTCCGGGCATGGGAAGTACAGTGCCTGCACTCTGAAGGAGGAGGTGTAATGGTGTCAGTTTAAAAATACTGTAGTGTAAATCACCCTACTGGCGAAGGCACCTCTTTAGGGGGGTCCTTGGCGTGGTGAAGAGGCTCTTGGTATTGGAGGAATTAGCCTGACGAGTCTTCTTCTCAGATCCCGAACCTTATTACCCCCATTCTCCCCTCCCTCTAATCCCATCCTCCCAATCCTCCCTTTTTCATTCCTTCCTCCTCCTCCTCATCCCTCCGTTTTGCCTTCCTTTTTTAGCCTTCGTGATTCTCCCACAGCGCGTGCTATGTTCCTAGGTAGGGGAAATGGACACCGGGACGGTCGATCCCATTCGTGTAGGTTTCTTGGCTGTAGTGGTTGGGTA